GGTATCGGGAAATGAAATATCGTGATATTTCAGTGTATCTATATTTTCTTACACCCCTAGCTGATAGCGACGTAAAGTTGGCAAAACCTAATTTAGAAAAAGCTAACTGGTCTTCTAATTGTTTTTAAAGTTAGCAAAAAAGCTAATCTGATAAATGAAATAAATTAACATAGTTATTAGCTTTTAGCTGATTAGCAGACCCATGCCCGCCACTGTTCAGGTCCCGTTTAACTTCGAATATGGTGAAGTTTAGATGTTTTACTTTGGTGAACAGTCTTGCTGCAGCAGAGGTTTTATATTTGAGTTATAAACAGCTTTAATTGATCCAGTTTGTTTTCTTACTGAAGATGAGTCAACCAGCAGGGAAACAACAGCTTGACGTCAAACCAGAACCAAGACTTCTCAGTCCTGGTTGAGGTTTAAAGTCTCAAACTGCTGCTTTAAATAAAGGTTTTCACTCTTTTTACCCAGGAGGTTATGTAACGCTTAAAATCTGTTTGTCAGCAGGAAAAATAGCAAAGATGGATCTTATGAAACATGGATGAATTTAAAAAAAGGCAATTTTTTTTGTTAAAATAAGAAAATGAGGTCTGGTGGAAGACAAGCTGCAGCAGATGTGTTTCTGATGGAAAAGTATTTTGTAAATAAAGAYGTAAAACTCTGAACAGCTTCAGATAGTTCTTCGCAAACGTCAACTTTTCAGATTAAAGCCATAAATTATCGTGTCGGCATTTTTCACGACCAACAAGAGGAAGTGTTCTCAGATTCCCCCAACAAACCACCACCGAGCAGCTCTCAGGGGTCAAAGGTCACGAACAAAAATGCTGCTCGACGCTCATTAATCTTCCCTCCTCATCATCCTCTCCCGACCCGAGTGTTTCGCCACGAAGCGGCGGCCTGAAAACAACTAATTTGGACGCAAACAGAATCTTCGGGAGCGGAGGAGGAAATGAATAAATCTGAGTTTTGAGGCGAGCYGAGGCTCTGTTTGGACATCTCGTGTTCTCCCTGTTTCGATGGAAAAGTCATCTCGTTCTCCTTTTTCACAAAGAACCTAAAAGTCAGCAATGATAAGTCGCTTCCGGGAGAACTGATTTAAAATGGAGGAAAGAACCTCGAGCCAAAAATACCCTGAAGGGCTGCAGAATCGATCAGGAGATTTATCTATTAAACATCTTGTTTTTTTTTTATATAGTTCTACGAACATATATACATTTTTTTCCCCCTTCGTGGCTCTTTAGATGAGTCTCAGAACTGAGCAGGAAACTGAGACGGTGGTTTGATGAGAACCAGAAGCTGAACAGAAACAGAAAATTTAATTATAAAAAGCTTCATTCTGGAGGTCGGAGCTGAAAGGAGACGTAAAAAGACGATGAAGGCGGCTGCCAGGATCAGTCAGAGGTGAGGAGGTGGCCGAGATAAAACCTGGAGGTTTTTTTT